TGTTATAACATTTATACTTTTTAATCTATTCAGCTTTATATTTTGCAATACAAGTCAATGGGAGCTCAAAGTACTGAGTCAATGACATAGTCTTGGAGTGTCATCTGGTGGTTCATAAAATGCAGCGCAATTGGGACATGTCCCAACATAACTTCCCCCTCCCTCTTTCTCTGTCTCTCTCCCCCTCCCCTTCTCCCTCTCTGTCTCTCTCCCCCTCCCCCTTTATTCCCCCCCCAATACACACACACACACACACATTCACACCTACTTGTTTTACCTAGTTTGTGGGGTCCTAATGGACTATTTTCACATCTTTAATAAGTTCTGCATACTTTCAGCTAGCAAAGCCATTTAGGTATCAAAATTTTCAGCTCTTCAAGGACAGTCATGCTTCAGAATTTTTCTAAATCTCATACCTTTGAAATATTTCTTTATTTTGAAAATTTTGCCCCATTCAAATGAATGGGAACATTCATATTCAGCATACATTCAGCTATTTCAGGTATCAAAATTATCAGCTGCTCAAGGACATTCATGCTTCTCTTCAGAATTTTTCTAAATCTCATACTTTCGAAATATTTAGCTTTATTTTGAAAGTTTTCCCTGATTCAAATGAATGGGAAAATTCTACTTCAGCATACCTTCACCTATTTTTGGTATCAAAATGTTCAGCTCTCCCAGGACATTCATGTTTATAACATTTATACTTTTTAACTGATTCAGCTTTATTTTTTGCAATACAAGTCAATGCATTTCTCTAGTTACACAATATGATAATATGATGATCCTTTTGCTAATTTTAACAAACAAGACGAACACTAGTTTTAATGTAACTGCTGAGTCAGTTTATGTATAAGAAAATTAGTTGAAGTGTTGTAGACTGAGATTGAGACCGACTAGACTGCAAGCTTCAGGCACCTTAAGAGAAAACATCAAACAGGATATAAGGACGTGTCTCGAATAAAAAAGGCAAAAGACACACAAAGCAGTAAACATTCATTTAAAGCTACAATCAGTAAAAATTCAAAATCATACTAGCGCTAGCATAAGATTCTAGAATCAAATCGCCTCCACTCCGACCAGCCCTTCCTCTCCCTGCTCACTCCACTCCACCCAGCCCATAGTGAACACCCGTATCCATGGGCACAGAGCCACAGTTAGGAGGAAAATTCACCTAGTCAGCAGACACTACAACGTTCACCTTGTGGGCATTAAAAGAACTTATCTCACTGAGCTGACTGCCCTGATTCATGTCTACTGTAAAACAGCACAACTATGAAGTAACTTCCACTACTTGACAGGGAGACATAACACATTTACAACCAGCACAGTCTGTGAACATCAGCAAAGAAATAAGAGTGGGTCCTGCACGTCCACAGAAGAGTTTTGTGATGCCATCTTGTACGGTAGCATCACAAAAAGCACTCAAATTTTTCTATCACATACAGAATACATTGTTCAAAAAAACTCAGATGTATTTTCAAACACCATGTCCTAAATGTGACAGAGTGGTGAAGTGTTTTTGGTGATAGAACCTTTCTGTGGATGAGCTGGGCTCACTTTCTTTGCAGCACACACACACTGTGCTGGCTGAAAATATGTCATGTCCACCTGTAGTGTAGTGGAAGTTGCTATACAGTTGTGCTGTGTTTACAGTAAACACGAACCAGCTCAGTGAGTTACATTATTTTAATGCCCACCATTTGAACACCGTCTGATAACCAGGTGAACTTCTCACCAAACTGTGACACTCACAATGGGCTGGGTGGAGCAAAGCACAGCGGAGTGGGCAGAGCAGAGGCGACTGACTGTAGAGTCTCATACCAGCTTAATGTTAATAATAATTGTATAATACGAATTGTAGCTTTAAGGTTAAGTGAATCCTACATTCTAATTGACAATATAGGCCCGACAGAAAAAAAAATCACCAAACTTCTAATCTGAAATATAGTCTTGCATTGCATTGAACTTACATGCATGGTATGCGTGTTAACTGTCTGATCACAAGTAAGGTTGTCAATGTCTTAATGAAAACAAACATTTTTTTTATTAAGATACCATGACATTTCTGCTTAATCTGTTAAAGGGGAAATACTGGTGGTAGGTAAATAACTAAACTAGTAGTCCAGAGGTAATCTTACCAGGTCTCTGCAGGATATGAGGGACAAAGGCTGGCCTCAACATGGGAGGGGGGGGTGGACGTATTGGAGGCACTAGGACAGACAAATTAGACACAGAGTGTAAATGAAACATCACTTTGATTTTTAATAAATCTGCAAACATTTCAGAAAAAATTTTCACTGTCATTATGTGGTATTGAGCATACATTCGTTAACAAAAAGGCAATTTTACTGATTTTAAATAAAATCTGTAACACAAATTGCAAAAGTGAATGCATTAAGTAGATAATGAAGCATTCCCAGTCTTCAATAAAATGTGCCGTCATGCTCATGTAAGGCTCGCATGTCCGACTTGACCACAGATCTGTAGTTAGTCCGAAATTCGTCACTTTAGCCAGCCAGGCGTTAAGTGTCTTCCAGACATCTGTATACATTTCTGGCAGCACCTCTCATGCAAAATACTTGTGCGAGGGCAACTAGTACCTAGGGTCAAGTGCTTTCAGTAGTTTTTTTAATCCTTGTGGCAATAGGGGCCATGTCCTTTGCAATATGGTATGCTACTGCATTTGTAATTTCATGCCACTTTGCACTTTTATTTCGTACGTCACACCACGGTTAAATGCAGTTTGCAGCTGGCTTTGCGTCAAGGTGGACGGCAGGCAGGAGGACTTTAATTCTGGTGGCTTCGATGTTGTGGGAGCAGTGGCTGCAGCATGCCGAAGTTTCATGTACTCCTTGTACTGGAGTTTGTGGCGTTGCTGTAAATGGTGGTACAGATTTGTTGTGCTTCCACATTTGGACGTTAACTTCTTTGTGACACAGTCTACAAATTATGTTTTTCTGCTCGACATCATCTCTTCTTAAACTAAACCACTTCCAAACTAACGAACCAGTGCTTTTCTTTTTACATAACAGAGCTTCGTCACTCATGTTGAGCGGAGCCTGAGCTGCTTCCATGCTGCTGAGTTGAAAATAGCCGCTGACTTCCACTGGCCGCATGCGCAGTGGAAGAGTGTGGGCGGGGTGCAGGTGTGTGTGAGTGAGAGAGAGAGCTTGATGAGGATAGACTCTTGTCTCGACCTTTAACATTATACCGCGGTATAAACGGTATTGCGTAATTCTACACCGCGTTTAAAATTATATCAATATAAGTTAATATATCGATATACCGCCCAGCCCTACTCTCCCAGTTGGTTCACTTGTAACTAATCATTATTAAATACATTAGAGGTTATTGTGGAAGTAACTCCTCCCCTCTGGATGGTGCTACAGGTCACTGTGTGCCAAGACATCCAGACATAAAGACAGTTTCTTTTGGGGCTATTACACTGATGAATAGCTAGTCTATGTTGCTCTTTTAACTTGTGCTTTTTAAGCTTGTACTGTATATATTGTGTATTTATTTTGTTTTTATGTTGTGCACATTGGGGGCCATTGAGGTGGAGTCAAATTCCTTGTGTTATTGAAATATTTGGCAATAAAGTATATGTTTATGCTTAAGTACTTATTAACAATGCAGATTGTTCCTGATTAGTGCCTCACTTGTTCCCTAGTAACTACGCATATTTTTGTGCACCATATTGTAAAGTGTTATGGTTAACAGTGTAATGATACTGTCACATCATGGTTTTGGTATGATACACAAGTTGGAATGGAAACAACTACTTAGATATAGCTTCTTATATCTAGTCTATAGTTTCACTGTAGGGATCTTTAATTCATTTCCATGTAGCACTTATTGTTTGTAGATAATTCAAATATATAAAATTTAGAGAAGCCAAGGTGAATCCCATGATTAAGACTGCCCATCTGGTGTAGCCACCCCACAACAGTGGCCATAGAGTTACTCCGTAGTCAGAATGGTGGCCCTGGGTCAAAATTAGTTGAAAACCCCTGCACTGAATGACTCTGAATGGTATATTACTGCCCAACCCTAGTTAGCGTATGCATGCATTATCTTCACCTGGTCCCACAAAGGCTGGTGGTGGAGGCCCAACAAAACTAGCAGCTCTGGCTTCTAATGTCTGCTGGACCTAGAAAAAAGTTTGAGAATACAACAAAGAGCAAGAGATCAAACACAAAGTGACTGTTGTACACAAACAATAGAAAAAAAGTCAAACCCCTCTGTCTTTCAGTAGTTCTATTTTAAAGTATTTGAGCTCAGATACCAAAAAACATAACCTTTCACTAATAAATATAACAGCATTTAAATAAGCAGCACATTTGTTCCTATATATATATATATATTTATACATCTCCAGTATCATTTCCAGAATCCAAAGATTAATTCAGTGATGAACCCACCACCTAGCCAACCAACTGAATTTGGAGTAAGAGCCAAGATATAGTGCCATTCTTTTATTTGTTACTGAATGTAATTGTTTTGAATTGAAAATTGAGAATCAAATCTGAATCAAAAACACCAAGGAATGGTACCAAGAATTGAAATCAAATCATGAGTTTGATTCTCACACCTGTATAGTACCATTCAAAAATTGGGGGTCGCTTCCATTTTTCCATTTTTTATTCTTATTTAAGCATTTCAAGTCCAGTCAATAGATTTAAAGAGTAAAAAAACTAAGACGTAAACTGCCAGAGGTTTAAAAAAAAGTCAAACACTAAAAATATGTGAAAACTACATTAAAACAGGCCTTTTTAGTGATCAAGTAATAGGTTAACTTACATCTGTTCTGCAGCAGTGGAAATAAGTGAAGCATTTAAAATTGATGCAATTTCAGTGTCTTATGTTTTCATGATTACAACAATAAACTATCTGTACAAAGGCAGTGTTGGAAAGACTGTCTTACTACACCCTCTGACTGCAAACTTTCAACAGTAGTGTATAATGAACAGCGCGGTATCATGTCTCCTAGAACTATTTTTATTTTTGAGAGGTCATTAAGGTCTTTTGACACATAAAATTACAGAGTAATTCAATATTTCACTGATTGTTTTACATTGTAGGAGGAAATGTATTTCTGTCTCCATCTCACTTATAGAACAGGCACCACATACTCAGTTTTCTTTTGGTTGCTCTTCCTTTTTTGATTGCCAATTTATGGTTATTGAGCTGAACATGGTAAGTCCCTGTCTCTTTTTTATTTTTTATTTTTTGCAAAAATGTATTCTGCCAATCCATCATCTCTTTTTGAGGCCAGATATCATCCTAGTCTAATTTGGCTTTTACAGTATCATATTTCCTATGTTCCAAGTACAATTCTTTACATTGCATTATAAATCAGTTTACTCTGATTGAGGTGTCCAAAGCATTGCTGTTGTGAGACTGCACAGTGTATGTCAAAGAGACAAGATTTTACTGACCATTTTTAAAAGCTGTTCTTATTGTTGCTCCTCCTAGATATATTGTTAAATTATTATCTTCATCACCCAATTATTATTATTATTATTAGTAGTAGTAGTAGTAGTAGTAGTACAAACCTGTCTGTAGGTGTTAGTACCTATAATGGGTCGCACTACTGGAACTGCTGGGACAGTCAGCGCTACGGGTACTGCCTCCATAAGAGGTGGGATTCCTGATAGTTCCACCAAGAACCTCCTGCTCAAAACTACAAAAAGAGAAGGGACAAATTTTTTTTCCATTTTTTGATAGATTCTTCATACAGACATAAACCTCACAGAGTTCAATGTCCCAAACCCATCTTAAACATAAACAAAGATGGACACAAGCACTAACACTAACTAAAACACTAAGACTCTGCTGCACATGCTGCTCCCATGCAGCATACATTCTGTTATATTCTTGTATATTTTTTTACTATATTGCTGCATCTGCTGCTGCTTAAAGTGCCTTAGATTTTGTGTTATTTATCTACTTTATATTTCATTTGTATTTTGTGGCATTCATGTGGACGGCAAAGAATTTCATTGTACAGGGAAACACGTTTCCTAACTGTGCATATGACAAAATAAACACTTTGAACTTGAACTAATAGTCATTACACATGCACATTATTTATGAGCCACTAAAAATGTGTGTGTGTGTGTGCGCGCGTGTGTGTGTGTGTGAAAATGGCTGTAATTCCAGAATGGTTAATGCCAAACTTTTGTCAAACTTTTGAATTAAAGCTGAAAGTCTTGACTTCACGCACATCTTGAGTGGTTGTGGCTGGGAGTACCAAGCTATGGTGCCATGCCCTGCATCAGGTGTTGTACATGGCGTAACCGCTGATATTATGTTAATATTTGCCCTTCTCTGTAAGCACACTGTACTCAGGCCTGATTTCTTCTATGTCTATCTACAACATAATTTCTGGCTAACGTTACACCACAAGTGCCGGATACCAGCTGGAATACATTAGACTTTTTTCCCTTTCTGTGACTGGGTAAAGAGACATTTTAAAACTGTTGTACTCACAGAGCCATCTCCGCCTCCATCTCTTTCAGACGCTCGTCTCCTGACTTGAGCGCCATTCTATGAGACACAAATGCTGATCAACGACAAACCAGCGTCAATCTAACGTTAGCTAAGCGCTAACGGAGCCTACCACAAATTTCCTCACGAGGACAGTAAAATATATGATGTGGTTTTATTTTATAGGACAGAATAAGCAGACTCTTTAGGTAAGACAGGTAAGTCAAGTACAAGAGGCCTCGTTATTTTCATTTAGCCTTAACACAAAGAAAGCTGTATCCTTCCACGGCCAACGTGAGCTAATGTTATCCTTCCACGGCCAAACCAGTCTTGTGCGTTTTCGGTGTTGTGTCGAAATCGGGTTCCCCATAGAGATGTGTTTCCCCTAGCCTGGACCCTAACATAACCCTAAACACAACCACGGAGGGGGACGCTACGTGAAACCGAGGTTTGAAGAGGGGGACACATCTCGACACAACACCGGGAAACACGCGACAGCGGAATGTCTGTGGAAGGATCACATTAGCTCACAAAGTCCATGGAAGGATACAGTTCCGCTAACGCCAATTTATTTTGTTCGCTAGTAGTTGCATCCTAAGCTAGCTAAGTTAGCAATTACGCTAACTCTATTGAATCAATCAGCTAACTAACCGCTGTGAAAATAGCTTAATTTATATGCTACTATTTATTAACATGGTTACGTACTAGGAATAACAATGTTTAAACTCTAAATAATTGTTAACTGCTACTGCCATACTTCGTTGATGATAACGTGTAGTGGTCTTCGTATCGCTGCTGCTGCTGCTGCTGCTTCCTCCTCCTCTTCTTCTTCTGTTGTTTAACGGCGGTTGGCAAACAACTTCAGGTGCATTACCGACACCTTGTAGACTGGAGTGTGGAACAGCCCCTATCTACTACAACAACAAAATTATCTCACTCAGTTTGTACCGCATTATTTTACCCAGTCCGGTACCCTCTAAGAACCTAAATATTGCTCTGTACCCTGCATCCCCTGCTTTTTTGCAACATCCCTGTTAAACTAAATCTCATGCCACCACTTTATATTTCACTTGTATTATGTATATATCATGTATTATATGGCATTCATGTGGACGGCAAAGTAAGAATTTCATTGTACAGGGAAACACGTTTCCTAACTGTGCATATGACAAATAAACACTTTGACCTTGACCTTCCTGAAATCATCTTCTTCTTTCCTATTCCTCACTTTCTCTCATTTCTCCTGCTTTCCTTTGAATATTGTAATATTACCAACCCTTGCTTTCTTTATCCCATAGTTCTTGCCATTTCTTTTTCATTTTCCTTTTAAATAAACCCTTAATCTCAGCCTTACTACAGTTTACTGCTTCACAAACTTGTGAAAACGCTCTTGTTTTAGGTGCAGCTTTTGCATATTTATCTGCCATGCTTATATGTGCAGAAACTCAAATTAATCTAGCATCTATTCCGGCCCTCTTACATCTGAATATCATACAAGCTATTGCAAGAATTATGTCCTACCTCGAGTTTGACTGAATGTATCCATTACTCATTAAAGAGCTTCTTGAGTCTGATCCAAATAGGGCTTTTAACGGTTTTATTCTACCCATTCTAACGCTGGTAAAATAGCTATTAATTCTCCTATATATGTTAAGAAATTATTACTGATCCGTTTATTTGATCTGGTATAAAAATTCCAATCCTACTTTACCAGTCATTGTATATATTTTAACAAATCCTGTATAAGTTTTATATATTTACTTACTTCATTTTTTCCTATATTTCCTACTTCCTCAAACATCCAAGGTAGGATCACCAATAATGGAATAGTAGAACTTATCCTTTTGTCCTCTAATCCCTGATCCTACTTTCTATCATCCATCCCAAACTCCTCTGCTGACCTTTCTCCTTTTCTTGACACTGTCCCAACAGTCTCTGAGTGGGATGACTCCATTTATGCCCCTTACATTTGCCCAGTATGATAATGCTATCTGTGATCTTCATAAATCCAAAGGCATTTGACCCATTTCCACTTGTAGAACTGAAACTGGTGTTGTTTTCATGGCCCCACGACAGTCTTAAAACTGTATGATGTCCAACTTTTTCAAAAAAGTCTTATATGCTAATTCATAAACTATACTACTATAATCTACAAACCCCAATTCCAACGAAGTTGGGATATTGTGTAAAATGTAAATAAAAACAAAATACATTGACTTGCAAATCCTTTTTTACCCATATTTAATTGAATACAACACAAAGACAAGATATTTAATATTCAAGCTGATCAACTTTATTGTGTTTTGCAAATATTCACTCATTTTGAATTTGATGCCTGCAACATGTTCCAGAAGAACTGGGACAGGGGTATTTTTACCACTGTGTTACATCACCTTTCCTTTTAACAACACTTAATAAGCATTTGGGAACTGAGGACACTAATTGTTGAAGCTTTGTACGTGGAATTCTTTCCCATTCTTGCTTGATGTACGACTTCAGATGCTCAACAGTCCGGGATCTGTGTTGTCGTATTTTGCACTTCATAATGCGCCACACATTTTCAGTGGCCATTTTCTGTTGTAACATGTGCAGAATGTGGCTTATTCAAGCTGATCAACTTTATTGTGTTTTGCAAATATTCACTCATTTTGAATTTGATGCCTGCAACATGTTCCAGAAGAACTGGGACAGGGGTATTTTTACCACTGTGTTACATCACCTTTCCTTTTAACAACACTTAATAAGCATTTGGGAACTGAGGACACTAATTGTTGAAGCTTTGTACGTGGAATTCTTTCCCATTCTTGCTTGATGTACGACTTCAGATGCTCAACAGTCCGGGATCTGTGTTGTCGTATTTTGCACTTCATAATGCGCCACCCATTTTCTGTTGTAACATGTGCAGAATGTGGCTTGGCATTGTCTCGCTGAAATAAGCAGGGACGTCCCTGAAAATTATGTCGCTTGGATGGCAGCATACTTTGCTCCAAAACCTGTATGTACTTTACAGCATTAATGGTGCCTTCACAGATGTGCAGGTTACCCACGGGCACTAACACACCCCATACCATCACAAATACTGGCTTTTGAACTCTGCGCTGATAACAACCATCCAGTCCTTTTCCTCTTTAGCCCAGAGGACACGACATCCATAATTTCCAAAAATGGACTCGTCAGACCACAGCACACTTTGCCACTTTGCATCAGTCCATCTCAGATGAGCTTGGGCCCAGACAAGCCAGCGGCGTTTCTGGGTGTTGTTGATGTATGGCTTTCACTTTGCATGGTAGAGTTTTAACTTGCACTTGTAGATGTTGCGACGAACTGTGTTAACTGACAATGATTTTCCGAAGTGTTCCTGAGCCCATGTGATCATATCCTTTACAGACCGATGTCTGTTTTTAAAGCAGTGCCGCCTGAGAGATCGAAGGTCACGGGTATCCAGTGTTGGTTTAAGGCCTTGCCACTTATTTTCAGAGATTTCTCTGGATTCTCTGAATCTTTTGATGATATTATGGACTGTAGATCAGAATCAGAATCATTTATCAATTATTTATTAATCAATTATTGGCCAGGTGTATTGGACACACGAGGAATTTGATGATGAAATACCTAAATTCCTTGCAATTGTACATTGAGAAATGTTGTTCTTAAACTGTTGGACTATTTGTTCATGCAGTTGTTCATAAAGTGGTGAACCGCACCTTGCTTGTGGATGTCTGACCCTTTTGGGATGCTCCTTTTATACCCAATCATGACGCTCACCTGTTTGCTTGTTCACCTGTGGAATGTTCCAAACCGGCATTGGCATTTGTGGGATACAAAGCAGCCTACAGGAGGGAGGTGGCCGGTCTGGTGTCATGGTGCAAGGACAATAATGTCAGCCTCAACACAGACAAGACAAAGGAGATGATAGCGGACATGAAGAAAGAGAGGAGATCTCATCGGCCGCTGTTCATCCGGGGGCTGGAAGTGGAGAGGGTGAGCAGCTTCAAATACTTGGGCATCTACATCAGTGAGGACCTCACCTGGACACTTAACACCGCACAGCTGGTCAAGAAGGCCCAACGGCGGCTGTACTTCCTGAGGAGGTTTGGCATGTCGCCTAGGATCCTTTGCAACTTCTACAGCTGCATCATCGAGTGCATCTTGACCAGCTGCATCACTGTCTGGTATGGCAGCACTACTGCTATGTTTCCCTCTGCCATCTGTCATGTCTAGAATGTGATACAGACTAAATTAATTCAGATCAATCATCCCAATTTAAATCATCATTTAATATTACAATTATTCTGAACAGAGTAGTAGTTAAATAGGTAATCTAGGAGTTAGGGAACAGAGAACAGAATCACTCCTCCGGCAATAGAATAGATACAGTATTACATAAGATGATTGTCACAGAATCAGTCAGTCTTGGTCACAGGGTACGGTCAGTCAGAGTCCGTTCCCCCTACCCATGCCTGGGTCCGAAAGAGCACACGGTACACTGTCACAGTAGCATTCTTCTCCTTACACCCTTCAGCCTCACTGTTTTATCCACAGCTTTCTTAGGATGTTACGTCACTTTCCGAACTTAGCTTCCTGTCTCCAGTTTTAGAAGACAACACCCTGATGTAACCAAAAACAGGAAACATCTTGGCCAAATTATATAAGCTCATTGTTCAGCTCACATGAACTTAAAAGTGAACACATAAACACTCTATTCTATTACATAATCCATATTAACATTTAACTTAAACCACTACACATCAGACTCCTAAACAGCTGACAGGAGTTTATTACCAGGAAATACGTCACGTAATGATGTACTGACGTACTGACGACCTGTACTGTTTACATTCTCAGTTTGCACATGCATAATTGCACATTCACTGTTGACTACTGCACATGCAGCTCCCATGTAGCATACATTCTCTTATTATATTCTTATATATTTTTATTATATCTCTTCATTTGCTGCTTTAAAGTGCCTAAGATTTGGTTTACTTATTTATCTACTTTATATTTCATTTGTATTGTGTAGTATTCATGTGGACGGCAAAGTAAGAATTTCATTGTACGCGTTTCCATACTGTGCATATGACAATAAACCCTTTGACCTTGATCTTGATTCCTCAACTTTCCCAGTCTTTTGTTGCCCCTGTCCCAGCTCTTTTGGAATGTGTTGCAGGCATATTCTGTTTTTATTTACATTTTACACAATGTCCCAACTTCATTGGAATTGGGGTTTGTAAAACAGATCTGATTAAACCAGTAGCAATAATTTTTAAAGCAGATCTACTTGCTCCCCACTCCCTACTCCTCAAACACATAATATTTATTACTTTCTTGAAAGTGTAATACCCCAGTTCTTTAATTGAACAGATCTGAATGAAGACGGAGTCTGACTTGCTTCATTTTAGTGCTGGTTTATTTAAAAAAGCCACAAATAAAACTTACAGAAAAAACAACCCGGGTGGCTCCCTCCCTCAGACAAGCTGCTGGAGAAGAGAGACCCCGGAAACACAGAGCCTAATACATTT